GGCCTCCCGGGCCCCCGGAGCCGCTCCCTCGGTGTCCCGGGCCAGCTGCTTCCCGCGGGCGAGCCCGCTGGAGCTGGTCCTCGCCCTGCGAGACGCGCCTGCTGGCTTGGTGTCTTCGGATGTTCGTCCGAGGGAGAGGGAGCCGGTTCTGCTGTGCTCCGGTGGAGTCTAGGCTCGGTGTGCGGTCCTGCGTCTGGGAGAGACGTTTTTAGGGCTTTCCGACTTGATCGCAGAACGTGGACCTTTTCGCTTTCTCAGTAGATCCCTTTCAGAACAAAACAGAATACACCTCACGTCCCCTAGCTGTACGTACACCTAAAAACTTGGGTTGCAGTCGGAACAGCCAAAACAAAAAAGGTTAGAAGTTGCAGTTCGATTTCCTTTCAGCCTTGATAGAAAGGTAAGAGCTACCTTTTCTCTTGCTGCGAGTGATGGGCAACCATATTTAATTGTACTCCGCTTTTTTTTTTTTAAACTCTTTTTGTTAAGTTGAACGCATTCTTCTCCCCTCCCGACTTTGTTTTATCCAGCTTCTCGGTATCTGGGAAAGTGTCTGGATGTTAAGAATTTTTTCTTTTACCGAAATACACTGATGAAAACACTTAGGTGTTAGACGTTCTCTGGGAGCACTCTGGCTCAGTGTGCACTTGGGAGAGTTGGATCTCTGAGCCCCAGCGTGCCTTCTGAAGAGGAAGTAATGGAGGGAGCCAGACGAGGTGAAGTGGCGGTGAGATTTGAGTTCTCATCCATTTTCCAGACATGGACGTTTTTTGCTCCATCTGTTTAAACAGCTCACTCGCCTCTTTCTAGAACCTAAGTCAGAGGGAGAAGGCCAGGCTTATAGGAGGTGCTCCGTTGATATTAATCACCAATCTTTACAAGGTTTTTGTTTGTTTGTTTGTTTGTTTCCTGAAGGGCTCCTTTCTCTTTTCACCTTGTTCCCAGCCTGTCATAGATCAGGTTTTCCCCTCTACTTCTAAAGGCTGTGCAAAAGCGTCTCACCATCAGGCCACTTTTTAACTCTTCTCGTGTATAACTAGAGCCACTTCTTCAGGAAGCCATTTTAGTTTTAAATCTGAAAACTTAAATACTTTTCATTCTTTGTTATATATTTCATTGCAGCTCCAGTACCTAGTGGCCAGACGCATTTACAAGTTTCTTTTTACAATAACCCTTTGTGGAATCTAATAAATGGTCATTATTTTTTTTTCTAAAAGATTTTATTTATCAGAAAGTGAGAGAGAGAGAGAGCGCCTGCACAAGCAGGGGGAACAGCAGGCAGAGCAGGCAGAGGAAGAAGCAGGCTCCCTGGAGAGTGAGGAGCCCAATTCAGGACTTCATCCCAGGACCCTAGGATCATGACCTAAGCTGAAGGCAGTCGCTTAAATGACTGAGCCACCCAGCATCCCAGTGGTCATTATTTTTGAGCATTGGTTGGTTTTCCTTAACACTGTAGCTTTGTGACTGATTTTTAAATCCTTAAAGCAGTATTATGTTCTACTCCCTTCCCTACCAGTCTGGTCTTTAATACTATAAGGTTAAAAAAAAAAAAAAAGGATCAGGTAGTATCTGTAGTCATTTTCCCATTACAGTTTAAATTTTGAAGTAGTCTTTCTAGTAATTGATGTGCATGAAATTTCAAATTAGGAAAAGGTATGTTGGGATTTCATCCTACTTGAATTATTAGTGATCATTATGACTGCTTGGGCTTTCACTTGCCAGGTAGCAAATCATCCTCAACTTCTGGTTTTGCATTATGAAGATGAGAAAATGTTGGGAGATCGTTTTTGCAAAGAGCACAGTAGTTGACATTCACAAGTGAGCTAACTGCAGAGGGAAAACTGCAAGCTGGCAGACCGGCTTTCTTCTCAGCCTTGTTTTAACCCAACAAGCTCCCACAGGTTGTTCTTGAAATTACAAGGTGATTATATGGCAGTAATGAATTTGCAACTAACTCATGATTTCAAACCATTATTAGCCAAAGGGCTGATTCCAGACCTATGTTCATGGATTTCCTTGCATTAAGTGTCGGCATTTAACTGTGACTTTTAGCGCGAAGTCCATCGGTGATCTGGACTTACTTGGGGAAAAGGTATCAGACACCAGGGTCACTTGGCTCCTACTATTTAATTGGAAACCAGTTTTTATGGGTGGTAGAGTTACTTGCCCTGTGTTATATTTTGAATGTGAAAACTACCAGGAACACAGTTTGATAGCAAGTGGGGAACAAGGGGTCAACATTATGAACATCTTTTGCTCTTTGGGTTGAAGGAGTGCAAAGGACAACTGAGATTCCTGAGCATGTACCATGCAAATGTTTGGCATTTCTCAGTGAGCTGTTACCAGTTCTTGCAAACTCTGCAGTTGGTCCCTTGGTTTGATAACAGCAAGTTCCCACCTACCTGAAGATGCCCACAGTGCTTTTACCTTGTTAGTGCTTTGTAGTTTCTTGAACCTCTTTGAAAATAGAGGGGCTCTGAAGCCCTTTTTCTCTTATGTTGTGCTAAGTCACTTTGAAATCTCCAGGGTTTTAGTTTTGTCTGCTTTCAAGTCCCCCTCACTAACCCAAAGCAAAGCAGAAAGGCAGCATTTATATTTCCAATTAGTGTTGGGCTTTGAGATGAACACTTCCTCCATGACGTCTGGCCCCTCCTTATGTGCTGGCTTTGTAGAGGTCCTGGGACTCTCTGTCCCATGGTGACCTCCTTTACTCTGTGGACTCTAAACCATCCAGGAGTGTAATACTGAGGAAGAGCTCCTCTGCTTTGTTTCCAGGCACATGAGCTCCTGTTCTATTTTCTTTTCCTGTTTTCTAAGGATAGTGTTGTGCTGGATGGTTCTCCCGTCTTTGTAGTTCATGCTGTTGTGGACACACCTACCTGACTTACTAACTCATTCATCAAGTTACCTAACCTTACTGGGCTTTTTCAATATCTGAAGTGGGGAGAAAAATATCCACTTTATCGAGTTGGCTAATGAGGATGACATAAGGTAACGCATGCAAGAACTTAGCGTAGTCACAGACACACAGTAGGTGGTCTATAAATGCCTTCCAGGGAATGGCATTAGTGGAATCAGCCATTTTTAACCTTTACAATGATCCTAAATTTTCCTCTAAGAAAAGGAATTAGCGTTCATTTTTGCACCCATAGCTTGAGTGACAAGAAACACATACATTTTATCCTGAGTTGGTTGGTGGTGGTGATCACATTTGAAGTGGAGGATAATTTTCATTCAACTATGAAGGTGAAACTCCCTGGATATACTACTTGGCTTCTCATTTGTTCCCAGCCAAACGAGACTATCACTTGTGATCCAGTTGCTCTGCCTGGAGATGAAGTTCAGTAATTATTGAAGTAGAATGACCAGAAAAACATATTTGCTACTCCACCTAATAGCAATATGGCATACTAATTATAGCCCATGCTGCACATGGAAAAAGAACAGATCTTGTTATCTGGTCCTTTAAATGTGAAAGTAGTCACAGTTAATCTGTTTTGAACTATTTGTACTTTGTACCACTCCTTGAATGGTAAGTATGTTTCCATACATGTAAACATTTCCTGAAAAGAGGCATCGCCAGTCAGGACTTTGGGTAGGAGTGGAGTAAGTAGGAGTTAGCTGGGGACTGTCTGGGTGATGATCAAGGGTAGACCTTTGAAGAGCTCACAGTTGATGACCACTGGGATAATCGTGTATTTTAAAAAAACAACTTTAGTGAGCTTTTCTAGTGTTCCAGGCACTATGGCCAAGGACTGCACGTGGTTTGTCTGAATCCTCACAGCTTGTAAAGTTGTAAAGGGACAGGATCAGTTCCTGTTTTGCAGACGAAGTAACTGAGGTTCAAGCTGGTTAGTGACTTGCCCAAGATCAGTAGCAGGGAGACGACAGGACCAAACGGAAGCCTGCCTCCGGCTCCGGACTCTGTCTCAAGAGCGCTGCGCTCCTGATTTTGACCTAGTTTTACGACTCTAGAAAGGAAATGTGGCCAATCCCAGATCACTTTTCTAATCTACCCAGACATTTTGTGTTCACAGTTTGTATCAGCAAACCTCTGATTCTGCCATCTTGAAACTGGTCTTGAAATTCCCACTTGTATCAAAAAACAAACAAACAAAAAAACCCAATTCTGTTAAACTGTGACTCCTCCTGGAAACAGGTTACCCTTTTCCTAGAGAAACCTCTTCTCCTTTTCACTTTCCTCTGTGGTGGGTCCACAGGTGATTTCCCTAAGTTAACATCTTTCTAGAAATTATTCTGTCTCAACTGGAGCAATGATAGTTGTTGATGACTTTTATTAGAGTTGGTAGGTTTGGTTCTCTAAGTCTTACCCCCCCCCATACCTCCCCACTCTCCACCCTTCATCCCCTCCCAGATGTTACATAGTAGTTGAAAGCAGGGAATCTAAAGCCACAGACCTGAGGACATCTGGCCCTTCTTGCATCCTGGGGCAAGTAACTTAACTTCTCTGAGCCTGTTTTCATGCTTGTAAAATAGAGATAATAACCATACTTATTACTGTACAACACACAGAACTCAGTAAGCACTTAACCATCGTATTATTATTTGTTCCAGTGAATGATTATGAGGTTATAGAAATTAACACTTATTTTATTCTTTCTGCAGCTCTTGAAATATTTGAAGAAACTCTCCACCTTGCCTATTACAGTAGACATTCTTGCGGTAAGAAGTGTTAGATATTATATAACTATATTCCATCCCCCTCCCACTGGAGAGATTGTACAATAAGTTTAAAAGCATGGGCTTTGAGAGTGAAAGAATGTTTTCCAGACACAAGGCCACATATTGTATGGTTCTGTTTAGGTGAAATGTCCAGAATAGGCAGATCCATAGACGGATGGTAAGGGGTGGGGGAAGTGGGGAGGAACGGCATTTCTTTTTAGGGTTATGGAAATGTTCTGGAACTAGTAGTCATCGTTGTGCAATATTGTGAGTGTCTTGGAAACCAATAAACTACATACTTTAAAAAGGTTAAAGTGAGCTTTGTGCAGTGATGGCATTGTAGCCAATGAGGTTTATCCATGGTGTGATTACTGCTAATTGAAAATAAAATGGTTAAAACGATGAATTTTATCTTAAAATTTAAAAAAAAAATTTAGCTTTGGCATCAATTAGTCTTGGATTCAGATCCAAGTTCTATGACTTTAGGCTGCTCTTCCATGTCAAACAGACCAGATTCCTGCCTCACAGAGTTACCGTGAGGACTCACTGAGATTCGTATGCAGAAGCTCTCCGATCAGTGCCTGACACCTGCTGGAATCGCTCTTGTTACTTACTGTTACAGTTGTAGAAGTGTTTTAGTACACTGTTTTCCACTCCTGAGGTTGGTGTGCTTTGCTACTGTGTGTCGTTAGGGGTTTGAGGCGCAAACACAAAGTAATTTTGTACTGAGACTTGCAAGGTATGTTTTAGGAAGGAGTTTCTCCAAGCAAGGGGCCTTATTTCCTTAGAAAGTTGTTGAGCGAAGTTCTGCAACCCTGTAACAATTCTTTTGTCAAATCTGCAGGAGACCGGAGTTGGGAAAACAGTAAATAGCTTGCGAAAACATGAGCATGTTGGAAGTTTCGCCAGGGATCTGGTGGCCCAGTGGAAGAAACTGGTTCCTGTGGAACGGTAAGAACATTCTGTAGGTTTGTTCAACTTCATGATTAAATCTGGTACTTGGAGTGTTTATAGACCCTTCTTATTTAAAATATTTATTTTGGGGGTGTCTGTGTGGCTCAGTCTGTTAAGTGTCTGACTCGTAAGTTTCAGCTCAGGTCATGCTCTCAGGGTCCTGGGATTGAGCCCTGTGTCTTTTCAGTTCTGTGTTCAGCATGAGTCTGCTGGAGATCCCTCTCCTCCCTCTGCTCCACCCCTGCTCATGCTCTCTCACTCTCTCTAAAACAAATAAAATCTTTAAAAACAAATAAATAAAATATTTATTGTGCCTGGATTATAAAAATAATCAGTGATCATTATTTAGGATTTTAAATTTAGGATTTTAAAAAATACTAAAAAATAGAAATTAGAATAAAAATTTCTTATAGTTCTGCCATCCAAACATAAACATTATTAACATTTTGCTATGTTTCTTTCTACCCTCTTTTTATTTATTTTTTAATTAAATTTATTTTTTTAAGATTTTTATTGATTTGAGAGAGCAGGGAGCTCGATTTGGGGCTTGATCCAGAACCCCAGGGATCATGACCTGAGCTGAAGGGAGGCACTAAATCTATTGAGCCACTCAGGCCCCCACCCTCTTTGTAAAAGACATTTTTATATAGTTGTGAACAAACTATATAAAAACAACCACTCCTTTTTTTAGGTAATAAGTTAAATATGTCCCCATGTTGAAATCTTCTTTTTCCAATTTTCTAAAAGATTTTATTTATTTGAAATAGCATGAGCAGGAGCAGAGGGACAAGCAGACTTCTTGCTGAGCAGAGAGCCCCATACAGAGCTTGATCCCAGGACCCTGGGATCATGATCTCAGCCTAAGGCAGACGTTTAACTAACTGAGCCTCCCAGGCTCCTCTGTGTTGAAAATTTTTGAAACGTTTTTCATGTCCTCAAGATATTTGATCTTGGGGCGCCTGGGTGGCTCAGTCGTTAAGCATCTGCCTTAGGCTCAAGTCATGGTCGAGGGTCCTGGGATCGAGCCCCACATCGGGCTCCCTGCTCAGCGGGAAGCCTGCTTCCCCCTCTCCCACTCCCCCTGCTTGTGCTCCCTTTCTCGCTGTGTCTGTCTCTGTCAAATAAATAAAATCCTAAGGGAAAAAAGAAAAGATATTTGATCTTTTTGTCCTGCAGTTAAATGCATCATTTTCTGTGTTTTGAATTATTTGAGTTTTCCCAGTCTCAAACCTTAGCCGAGTGTCTTCGAGCAGGATCCAATCGTCCTCTTCCCAAGACCTTGATTCTAACTCTGCGTCCTTTTCATCTCTTTTTGTGAGTTCAGGTTCTGTGACTTTGTCCTCTGAACAAGGATTACACTGAGATTTATATCTGCTCTTTCTACTTTTTTTTTTTTTTTTAATTGTAGAAACACTGAGCCTGATGAGCAGGACTTTGAGAAGAGCAATTCCCGAAAGCGCCCCAGGGATGCGGCTCAGAAGGAGGAGGAGATAGAGGGAGACTACCAGGAAAACTGGAAAGCCTCCAGTAGCCAATCCTATAGCCCTGATCACAGGCAGAAAAAACACAGGAAACTCTCAGAACCCGAGAGAACTCACAAAGGGTCCCACGTTCCAGAGAGGAGAGATGAGAGAAAGAGGTGCCATAGAGTTTCACCGGTTTATTCTTCAGACCATGAATCTTCTGATTATGGCCATGTTCAGTCCCCTCCATCGTCTGCCAGTCCCCATCAGATGACCATGGACCATTACAGATCCTTGGAGGAGGACCATGAGCCCTTTGTTCCACACCAGAAACCTGGGAAAGGCCATAGTAATGCCTTTCAGGACAGACTGGGGATTAGTCAGGACCGACATGTGGGGGATTCCCAGGGGAAAGGGGCTGTAAGTCAGAACAAGGAGCACAGATCTTATAAGGAAAAACGTCCGGTGGATGCTAGGGGAGATGGGAAGTTATCTTTGAGCAGAGAGAAATCACACAAGGCCATCTCCAAAGAGGAAAACAGAAGGCCACTCTCAGGGGATAGCACAAAGGAGAAGCTGCCCTCCAGTGGAGTCAAGAAAGAGAAGGAGAAAGAGGGCAGCTCCAAGAAGAAGTTTTTACCACCCTTGGAAGTTGCTTCAGACAACCACCTTAAAAACAAGCCAAAGCACAAAGATGCAGAGAAAACCAAAACGGACAAAAACAAGCAGAGTCTCGACAGCTTCGACATAGGAAAGGGGGTGGGAGACCCGCTGCCCAAGATGAAAGACCGGGTTTCTAACAACCTAAAGACTTCAGAAGGGAAAGTAAAATCTTCTCATTCAGACAGAAAGTCTGTGGGCTCCCTCGCCAAGGTCGAGGAGGCAGAGATGGACGATGAATTTGAGCAGCCCACTATGTCTTTTGAGTCATACCTCAGCTATGACCAGCCCCGGAAGAAAAAGAAAAAGATTGTGAAAACTTCAGCCACCGCTCCTGGAGAAAAAGGACTAAAAAAAAATGATTCGAAAAGCACGAATAAAAACTTGGACTCCGTTCAGAAATTACCTAAAGTGAATGAAAACAAGTCAGAGAAACTTCAGCCGGCTGGAGCCAGTTCAGCCAAGCTGAAAAAGGTAAGCCCTTCAGCCACTGGGTGGCTTCCCAGCTGGAGCATCTGGCCCTGCAGAGCTCCCAGGACCTACCCGCCTCTGTTCAGCTTGGCTGGCTTTTACGTGGCTTGTTGAATTTCAGTTTCCAGGCCTCTCTGGCAGGGCAGCTAGCCGCCAAGGTGCGTATTTCCTGCATTTGTTCTATCATGCTGGGCCTGTCTCTCCATTTCCTGCCTTCCGTGGTATCAGACCTAGCTGGCAGCCCCTCTCCAGCCTGGGTCTGCTCGTGAAGTTGTCTGCCTCGTCCGCACTGCTGGGAATGGGCTGTAAGGCAGAGAGCTGTGCCCTTATTACAGGGGCTGTCCACTCACTGGTCTGGTCTTTGCAGGTCCCCATGGACGCCTTGCCAGTGTTGCCAGACCTCCCATTACCCATGATACAGGCCAATTACCGGCCACTTCCTACCCTGGAATTGATGTCCTCCTTCCCACCAAAGCGAAAAGGTAATTTTCTGCATCCTTGCTTAACTAGAAAAAGATTTTAACAATTTATTCCCGGTATCCTGAGATTTGGGTGCACTTAATAGCCTCCCTGGCTCTGGAGTTTGACGGCTTTTGGGTTTAAATCCCAGCTCTGGCTTCTACAGGTTCTATGAACTGGCGTAATAATTTCCTTAGACTTCAGTTTCATGTGCTAGAAGTGGGCACGGTAATGGTATCTGCCTCACAAGTCTGTTCAGTGGATTAAAAGTGATGATGCTGGTAAAGCTCTTAACTTGGGTTTTCCCACATAGGGAGTGTTTGGTAAATCTTAGCTGTGCTGTTACTAGCTGCCCTTTATTCTATTATGTTCTGTATGGGCTTTTTATCTTAAAAAAAAAAAAAAAATTTCTGTTCTTAATAGCACAAGAATTAGAAGCCACGTAAGTGTCCCTCGGCAAGAGACAATCACTATAGTTCATCCACACAGTGGCCTCCTCTACAGCTGTGATAAGTGTGGACAGACTTTGTCTGATACGGGATGATTTCTAGAATACGGTAAATGAAAGAACAAGGACAGTGGGTGTTACTGGTGAAAATGGAATAAAATGCACATTTGTTTATTTTTGCACAGACTCGGAGGAATACACAGAACTGGTAGCATTGGTTGCCTTTGAGAAAAGGCACTGGGAAGCCGTGGAAGGGCGAGAGAAAGAGCTCTTCCTGCAGAGCTCAGTGCCCTTTGTAACATGCAGTCCTGTCTTCCTTGCCCTGTAGCGTTGTCTTCACCCCAGGAAGAGGAGGAAGCTGGATTCACTGGACGAAGAATGAATTCTAAGATGCAGGTGTATTCTGGCTCCAAATGTGCCTATCTCCCCAAAATGATGACCTTGCACCAGCAATGCATCCGGGTACTTAAGAACAACATTGATTGTAAGTCACATGCTTTTCTCCTGCTCTTAAATACATTGTGGCACTGGGACCTCGCCGTTGGCCGGCTTGGCCAGTATTCACCACTTGCACCTTTGATTCTCTGCAGCAATCTTTGAAGTGGGTGGTGTCCCGTACTCTGTTCTTGAGCCCGTTTTGGAGAGGTGTACGCCTGATCAGCTGTACCGCATAGAGGAGTACAACCACGTGAGTATCCTGTTTGGGGCAGGGAAGGCCATTTTCTGGCCCGTGTCTTCAGAACTAGCTTTGCCTCTGAGTCTGCAGCGGGGGAAGGGCAGGCAGCAGGGGTGGTTTCACTGTTCTGGGCAGGGTGGTTTGCCTGCGCGCCTTGAAACATGCATATTTTTAGCACCTGCTCCTGGCATCCAATCAAGATGGGCTTCAGAAGGAGCAGAGAAACACTGCCCACCCTTCTCTTGCCCAGTCACAGAGGGCAGGAGAGAATTGGGCAGCATAGCCTTCAGAGCCAGAGCAGGGACAGAGCTTTGTGAACCAGGGACA